CGGAGGGGGTGGTGGTGGGGAGAGAGCAGGAGCATGGGGGTCCCCTGGGTGGGCTCCCTCAGGGCCGGGGCACAGCACGGCCTGACCCCCCTGAAGGGCCAGTGTTGGGTGTCTGCAGCTGCTGGGGTCCTACCCGCCTTGTGGGGCTGGGGGGGCACCCAGGTGCCTCTCGTCAGTGGGTTGGGGGCCAGCGGGGCGCTTGGCAGCTCTCTGCCACGGGGCTGGCGCTGGCCGAGGCGCATGTGATTGCGCACTCGCGCTGGGGAACGACTGCATTAAGCTGTGGTGACGGAAAGTAAGCCAGAAGGTCAGGGCACCCGCGCTGGGCACCAGCAGCTCCGCGCAGTGCAGCAGGATCCCACCACGCGCCCAGCCCCACGTGGCGCCCACGCCCGGCCGAGCCACCAGCATGATTCCCTGCGGGACGAGCAAGCCGGGCGCACTCGCCTGCAGCAGCCCGGCTGCCGAGCTCCCCAGTGGCGACGGCGAGGCGCTCTGCGGCGCCTGCGAGCGGCCCTGCTCCCTGGCTGAGGATGACGGGCACCTCTTCGGCCTCTCCAGGGACGACCTCCCCAAGAGCATGTCCGACTCTTCCATCTCCTCCTACCACTCTGCCCTGTGCTCCGAGGGCACAGAGACTTTCGGTGACTGCCTGGAGTTTCTGGAAGAGGAAGGAGAGGCACCACCGGCTCAGCCACCTGTGGAGGACAAGGGCTACCCCGCTGCCACCGAGAGGCCGCCCGGGGGCGGCCCCCGAGCGCTGGGCTGCAGGCAGCGGTGCCGCCAGCCCAAGCGGCGCTCCAGGCGGCAGCGGAGCTTCCAGCAGCCGCGCGCAGGAGGAGAGGGCCCGACAGGTTCAGCTGTCAGTCACGGCTAAGAATAGCGCGGCGGCCGGGCACGGGGGCAGGATGGGTCCCGGCCGAGGGGATCGGCAGCCCGCTGCTGCGGACTACTCGGATCAGCCGCCTCCATTCAGCGCGGAGGCGCCGGGGCTGATGTTCTGTGCCGCGCACAAAGCCAAGAAGAGTGGCCGGGCCCCCGGGACCGGCAAGGCGGTGTGCGCCCCACGCAGCGCCCTCAGCGACTCGGACGAAGCCGACAACGAGGTGCAGAAGCTCACGGCACGCTCCTTCCGGAGCCTCTCGGGCCCCCACGGCGGCTACCTCGACATGTACAGCTCCCACACCTCCTCCAGCCTCTCCAACTCCTTGTCAGAGGACGGCGGCGCCGCAAAGCGGTGGCCGACGGGCAGCGAGCCGCGGGGGGCCATGCTGGCCCTGCACACCAGGCCCACCCGGCCCTTCCTTGCTGTGGGACAGGCCCTGGACAAGGAGCTCTTGGGCAGCTTGCCAGGCAAGGAGCAGTTCGAATGCGTCGACGTGGAGTTGGAGAGCAACGATGCTAAGAAGGGTCACTGCAAGAAAAGGACCGTCCCCAAGCGGCAGATCCAGCTCAAGAGGAAGGAGAGGAAGGAGACGGGTTTCTTCCCCTGGGGTGACTGCTCGGCCCACCAGCCCCTGCCACCACCCCGAAAGGAGCCCCTGGTGAAGGGCAGGGCCATCAGCGACGAGTTCAGGATAAACTACAAGCAGTTCATGAAGACCGCATCGCTGGACGACACCTGCAACAAGACCAGGATGGCCTCCTGCCTAGTGAAAAACGTGCTGGCCAAAAAAATGCAGTACGAACAAAGGATTAAGATGGAGCAGAAGGCACTGCAGGGCAGCTCGACATCATCAGGGCCATCGTCTGTGGGCACCGACCTGGCAGGCGACTGTCTGGAGGGCAAGTCGAGCTCACTGTCCAAGTCAGACTGCAGCTACTCGGCCGAGGACATGCAGGGCCAGGCAGGCAATCAAAGGCCTGTGCCCGTGGCCACCCGGCCCACCAAGGGGGTGGTGCTCAACGAGGAGACCAGGGAGAACGTCTGCAAGCTGAAGACCACTTTCAATGAGCTCAATGAGCGGATCAAGTACCAGGAGGTGCTGCAGTGCCAGTCGCTCACTGCGGAGCAGGCGCGGAGCAGGAGGAGGGAGGACTACAGGAGAGCACGTGCCATTTTCGAACCGCAGCAGGATGACGGGAAGGCGCCGGATGCCCCCCTGAAATTTGAGAAACCCCAGAAGCCATGGCCGAGCTTAAGGCAGCGAGCCATCCGGCAGAGCAAGCCCGAAGTGATGCCCTTCAAGCCTAAGGCCTTGGGGATCCCTGTGGCGGCCCCCCGGAACGTCTTCACCTCCAGGGCGCAGGAGGTGAAGCTGGTCCCGCAGAGCCAGCAAGAGGAGAAGCCACCACCTGAGGGGGGCTCTGCGGGGCGTCCCGTGACAGGGCCACTCCGGGAGGCCCCACCGGTTCCCCACCGGCCCCCTGTCACCCGCTCTCCAGAGCGGACTCCTCAGCCTGGGAATAAGGGCAAGGGGCAAATCCCTCAGCCGCGGGACGTCCGCAAGCTGGTGAAGAACACCTACAGCCTCTGCTTCAAGCCGGCGGGCGCCCCAGCGCCCACCACTCAAGGCAAGGGCACCGATGGGCCGGGCCCCTCGGCAGGGGAGCCTGCGGCAGCCTCCCCTCTCTTCATACACTGCACCTCGGTCTGCCGCAAAGAGCCAGTGCCAATGATGAGCCGCGCTCGTAAAAACAGCCCGCAGCAGCCGGAGGACAGGGACGTGCTGACAGTTCCCGGCCGCGAGCCAGGCGAGGCATGTGCCGACGGCCCCGCAAAGCCTCCCGAAAGGCCACGCTCGGCGGTGAGGGACTCCCCGATGAACATCACGAAGATCCAGTCCACGCGGAGGGTTGTGAGTGGGCCGGAGGGGCCGGCAGGCCGCAGCGGAGAGCCCGCTGTGCGTCGCGAGCGGAGCGAGCTGACCCTGCCGCCCGTGGCCAGGGCGGCCCCGCACCTGGAGTCCCACCTGCACATCCAGGTGAGCCCACCCTCGACGCAGGCGCCCAGCCCCGCCAAGGGTCCTGTGCTGGCCCCACAGGGCACTGCACCCGGCCGGGATGACCCCTTGGCTCCAGCTGCTCCCAGCTCGGTCGCGAGCAGCGCGGTTCTGCTCACAGAGAAGACCGTCCTCTTCCCACCTCCAGCAAGTGCCACAGAGGAAGCCAAGGGGCACCATCATGTCGCAACCTCAACCAGAGCGCCCAACCCACCCCTGCAGCAGCCCATCAACAGCGAGGGCATTTTGGGGCCACCAGGGGCCAGAGGGATCTCTGAACTGGGACCTCCCCCAGGAGTCAACCCACATCTGCCGCCCCTGCAGCCAGCAGCAGCAAGTGCCCCAGCGCCGCTCACAAGCAAGCATCTGAGCAGCACAGGTCCCCAGGAGGCCAGGAGGGAAAGGCCTGATGCGCTGACACAGACAGGTAGCTGGGCAGTTTCCACGGGGACCAGCATGTCTCCGGACAGTGTTGGCACCTCCACCACATTTCAAGCAAAGGAGGGCAGTGAGGAGGCTGGGGTGCCCAAAGGTCCTTCTGTCACCCCAGCGCCACTTGTTGGCAGGCTGCCAGACTGGCGGGAGAACTGGGAGCATTTAACGAAGCAGACAGGAGCCAACGAACAGTATTTCACATCTACCCCAATGGAGAACACAAACTACTTAACAATTCCTGTGAAAGCTGCAAAATCCACTCCAGCACCAAAGCTGCCTGCAGTGCCCAACCCAGCCAGTGCATCCCTCGGGACTCCCTTGGTCCCCAACCGAGCGAGCACGTCCTTCGGACACCCATCAGCCTCTAACCTGGCCAGTGCTTCCTTCGGGACCCCCTTGCTCCCCAACCCAGCCAGCACATCCTTCGGGACATCCCTGGTCCCCAACCGAGCGAGCACATCCTTCGGGCTCCCATCAGCCTCTACCCTGGCCAGCACTTCCTTTGGGAACCCCTTGGTCTCCAACCCAGCCAGCACATCCTTCGGGACGCCCTTGGTCCCCCACCGGGCCAGCACATCCTTTGGGTACCCATCAGCCTCTACCCTGGCTGGCGCTTCCTTTGCAACCCCCCTGCTCCCCAACCTGGCCAGCACGTCCTTTGGGTACCCATCAGCCTCCAAACCGACCAGCACTTCCTTTGGATCTCCCGTGGTCCCCAACCCCTCCAGTATGTCCTTTGGGGCTCCCTTGGTCCCCAATCCGCCCAGTACATCCTTTGGGGCTCCCTTGGCCGTAAACCCAGGCCCTGCTTCCCTTCGGCACCCCCCAGTCTCCAACCCAACGAACTCTTCCTCGGGGTCTCCCTTGGTCCCTAACCCAGCCAGCCCTCCATCGGTGGGTGCTATGTCTCTCCTGCCAGGCAGGGGGGCCCCAGGGAGCCACCCCAGCCCCGAGCTGCCCCTGTCTCTTGCTTCTGAAGGCCAGGCCAGTGCAGAGCAGCAGGCCCAGCTGCGCCTCGACGACGTTCCCCATTTCCTGAGGAGGACTGAGGGCGCCTCGCCGAGCAGTAAGAGCACGCCCAGCCCAACCAGGCCCTTCGTGCCCCACCAGCCTGCGCACCGCAAGATGCTCCTTGATCCTGACAGCGGAAAGTGCTATTACATGGAGCCGCCAAGGCAGCCCCAGCTGAAAACGCTCTATGACCCTGAGACGGGGCAGTACCTCGAGGTGCTCATCCCACCAGTGCCCCTGGCATCCCACACTGGCCTCTACCAGGCTCCTCTGGTCATGACACCGGGTGTCTACGGGCCCCCCTACATGCCCTCCGCCGGCTTCTCTGGGCTGCCGGTGCCCCCGCAGGCCGCC